ATCTTTTAGAATTTAACATCCAAAATAGAGTTAACACTACCGTTTTATTAGTCGTCATTTTATTTTAGTTTGAATGACAAAAATAGTATGCTTCCTTTTCGTTTTCTCTTATGTCATCTGTATTAATTAGTATATATACATAGTTGGATCTTTCCGTGTAATGAACGCTTAATATAGTACGAAGTTTAAGAGTCAATGCATCTCTTACGTGAGGCATGGTTTTTTTTTTTTTAACTTAGTCAAGTAATATAAGATTATGACTATTGTTTTTAAATAGAAACGCGTGAATTTTGTAATTGTTCCAAAAAAACTTGTTTGAAATCACTTAATTTTCTTGATTCTTAAATAGCCTCCGAAACTTATTTGTACTCTAATTCTCTCGTGATTGTGTTTATATATTATTTGCAAAGGATAAATGAATTGACTTTAAATTTACCTTTGGGGACGAAGTAACCAGCGAGAGTAGTATCTTCTCGGGCTCCATGAGGAGGCATGAACGCATTAGCTGGATGAAGCCGAAAAGATTCTCTGCTACTAGCTTTGATGTAGTTGAGATGTGGTATGTCTGATTCTTGCACAAATCTGTCTTTACCAACTACCATGTCCAATTCATTTATGGCTTTCTCAAGTATTTCTGGATGATTCAACATCTCTGCTATCGTCCACTCCACGTTATTCATCGTATTGTCGATTGATGCAACATTGATATTCTACATATAAATATGCACGTAAGAGATGAAACCCTACATTTTAGTTGTCGTAATTTAAAAAGTATGAACATGATCACTTACCTTGCATTGAGCCCTAATCTCATCAAGTGTGAACAAAGGCTTTCCTTGTTTATCCTTTAGAGTGATGAGAGTATCGAGCCAATCTTCCTCTCTCTCTTTTCCACCTTTATTCCTCCACAAATGCATTCTCTCGTGGATGATTGGATCGTTGCACCTGTTGATAACATCAACTGCTTCTCTTACCTCCGCGTCTTCTCCATCGATGTTACATCCTCTAAGACAAGAGATGTAGTTCGATACGCTATAGCTGAATAAGGAATCAAGAGCTCGGTATATTGCGTCCATATGCTCTCTTTCTTTGGGGCCTAGACCGCCGTCCTCAGCCGCTTCATCAAAATGCCTCTGGCCAAACATCATCCTCATCATCACGGCGTGGCAATAAGTTAACGCGACATCCCTCACGTTGATAGTCATCTGATTTGACCCTGATTGGCATAAATTGAAGATATAGGTGACGATATTATCTGCTTCTAGGGTTCTATCACCGAGGGTTTTGTTCAACAATGTAGGAGACATTAGTTTGGTGACCATCACTTTCTTGGCTAGCTTCCAACTCTCACCGTAGGAAGAGAAAGCAATGTCCTTGTAGCCATGACTTATGAGTTTGGCCAAGTACGACTCCGCCCTGTCTGCGAGAGCCTCGTCTTTTTCCCTAAGCACTTCCCGGGCAATCTCGCTTGAGGTTACGGTGATGACGTGGACGCCGGCAAAGCGGAAACAAGCTATCTCCGTTTGCATGTCTTCCATGACACGGTGGATCCACAAGTGAGTCGGCCGGTTCATGATCATGTTGAACAAGTTCCCAATGATTGGCCATCCCCGTGGGCCGGGAGGAAGCTGACCTTTTGGTTTCTTGAATCTCAAGGAACGTATAGCGAGAGCCAGGACCAGCGTAATGGAAAATATAACAAGTGTGAAATTAGAGTGATTCGTAATAATACTCATGTTCATGGTGATAAAAAGTTTTTGAGTGTGTATGATTTTTTTGATTGGGAGGGTGAAAAGAGGTTTCACTTTAAAGCTATAGTAGTGGAGGAATCTTACTACAAAATGAGTAATGAGAACGTTTGCCTAACTATCTATTTATATACTTCAAGTTTCATATATGACCGTATAAAATACTATTGGTCTCGGGAAACTATTATTCATCAATCATGAAACCCTAATAATCAAGATTGACCGAGCAAGTTGCAGCAACATGCATATATAATAGTGTTATGTGTGGTCATTTTGTAGTTTAAATGCCCTATTGTGTTTTTTTCCTCCTAAACTATGAGGTCAAATATATTGGGGACAAATGATAGGTCCCACTAGTTTTCATTTTTTTAAGGCGGTGTAGCAAAAACGTTTGGAGGTATCGAAAAGTAGGGCTGGAAAAATTATCAGTTAAATTCGATCCGATTCGGTATGATCCTATCAAAAAAATTCGGATATCCGTTTTGAATCAAATCGAAGCAAATAATAAAATTTAGTATCCATCAAAAGCGAAACAAATCACAAATAGTAATTTTAAAAATTCGAATATCCGATCCGATCCG